CTTTTCCCTACAGGCACAAAACATTTTCTAGCACTGATGAGAGGCATTGCTAAAGGTAACTCTTCCAGCTTAGGCAGACAAGAAATCTATCTTTGGGAACAGCAATTTAAGAAACCTGCAAGTGTCTCTGAATACTAGCTCCAACCAAGGATTTCAAATCTTAAGAAACACAAAGCTGCATCTGAGAATTAAGTGAAACAAAAATGTTATAATTTCAGTGGCAGAAGCATTATTTTTCTTAATTCATATTTTCTTAGGGTTGCAAGTAAAACTAACTGATTTTTGGTCAAAAATGTCATAACACAAAAGATGAGAAAAATCTGTTCTGTTTTCAGTAGTTCATCTACAACTTAAGAAGTGATCCAATGTATTATAAGCAAGGCAGCAAGTCACTCAGGTTGTTAAAATGACATCTGTTTCCACAAGATTAAAATGTTTTTACAAGAATTATTATCCCTCCACCACATCACTTCAAAGATCCATGCTGTGTGTCAATGTTCAGACATATTATACTAGGTATTTCAAGGTATTTTGGAACGAACTTATGCTTTAAAATGTTCTTCCAATACAAGAACACTTCTTTTTGCAAAGAACTTTTAAAAGGCCCATATGTCTCAAGTCCAAAACCAGTATTGACTGTCCAATGAACTGTAATTCTCCATATGCAATAGTTAAAGCTCCCAAACTGATTTTTTTCCACAATGAACCATATGCATCATTTCCCTTTATGTTTACAGATTCTAGATGAAAGTAATTAAACAGTCTACAAGGGCTCTTCTCTCTCATAACTCTAACAGAGTCTAACACAAAGTCACATGTAAAATTTAGAAACATTTAGAAGTCTTTCCAGCTCCAAAACAACTAGCATCAGAATACTAGACAGAGACACACGAAACGTGATACAAAAAAGAAAGAAAAATGTGAGGTGGTGATATTAAGCTGAACTTCACATTTAGTCAGAACAATCAAATATTTTGTTTTTAGAAGCCACGGTATCTAGATAGGTTTGCTAGTCTGAAGAAACATACTTGCAGTATACAGACAGCTACTACATAGTTTATTATTACCCCATTCTCATTATCCTCTTAAGTTTGTACAAGGTCCAAGAACAAGGTATATATTAGCTAAACCCTGTTTGTAGGAGCTTTAGTGTTCTGTACTCTAGCACAAAATCCCATGACTCAGATTCAGGTAGTCAAGAGGAAGGTGTTTCGCTAATTATCTAAAATTTAAAACGTGAAAAACCAGAATTCTGTACGGTTGTTTTTCTATTAACAATGTTCATCAGAAAAAACTCCCCACAGGAGGTCCATTTTGCTTATACCTAAAATAAAAGCCTGATGGCAAATCAGTTCTCTTTTTTCCATTTAGAGTTAATACTCTGCCCCTCCTCCACCCAATTTCATGAATGGAGAAAACATGACGGGTTGATTCACATCACTGAACCTGAACCAGATGAAATTCAGGAAGCAGAACGTTGACTCAGTGATACACAAGGAATCACGCTCCTTTCATACAGAAGCTGCAGTTAAACCTGCAGAACCTTAATTAGATTTTTTTTTTTTTTTTTACATTAACCAATTTTTAAAATTCAATATCCCTTAAAAAAGCAGCTCAGCCAAAGTTAAGTGATTTTTCTATTAACAATACAACTTCACTTAAAAAGTTAGCTGATGTGTTTATGGAGGAGGAATTTCAAATATAATAGAAAACTTTAGTTATCTGTAAATTTTGATTGATTTATCCTAAGGGATAGCTTCTATTAAAATTCAAGAGCAAGTATATTAATAAAATATATTTAATTATTTATATGAGAAAGATTTCATTATATGCAGGAGTCCTCTTAAGAGGGGGTTATAAACAAAGTTTGAGCTATGAGTAAAACAAACAGGAATCTGATAAAAGGCTTCAAACTATACTTAACACATTACATTTATTACAAAAACATACTACATGTGTCAGATTCAAGAGAGAAAAAAACACCTTGTTGAAACACAAGTTAATTTTCTGCTTTTTGTTATTGTCTCATTACAAATACATTTGGAAGATGATATTCTTTAATATTAAAATTTAAGCCTCACCACAGTACAACATGGCTAAATTTTCTATACAGACTTTAATAATCAGTAACATAACAAAAACATTTCTGTATACCACACTCCTGTCTCAAGAGTAGCATGTAGATGAACATTAATATCCCTATAGTTCAATCTACCCCAACAATTTATAACTTTGGAGAAATAGGTATAGGACACAAACTTTAAAAAGTTTAAATAAACTAAGTAGAATACTGCACGGAAGATCTGCTTGTTCACCACTGGGGTGGGTTACCCAGAAAGTAAATACAATTCACCCCCTTACACAAAATTGGTATATTTAGCTGTAGAACAAAAAAAATGATTTATGGGCCTTCTTTCAAAGGAGCATATATTTTAATAGTGAAAAGGCTACAATGAACTTGAAACATAACAGTATTGACTACCTTATACTTGCCTGAACTCCCTGTCAATTCCCATAATTTTAGGCAGAGGGGTCATTTAAAAAAAACAACAACAACAAAAAATCAAATTAACAAATAAGCCAAACCACCTTTTTCCCCACCCGCTGTGGAAGTCCTACTTATATGGAGGAGAGTGGGAAACCACCTGAATGCATAAGGGGAATGCTAAAACTCTTTATTAGCAAGTACTATAAATTGGGGGGAGATTAGCAATGCAAGCTTCAAGGACATTAATTTTAGATATTTATAGCAACACTGATAAACATTTCAGAAAGAAATATGAATTTCTTGACTGAGTGTCCCCTCCAATAATGTATTAAAATGTAAAATTAGCACTAAAGCCAGAATCAGATCTTTTTTGCTCTAGGGATAATTATACTTTCAAGAATATAATTACAACATAGGTTTTAAAGCTCTATGGGGAAAACTAAGGATCAGTAAGGTTTGGGTTTTTATATATGGATTTTTTAACCAAAGTGGCTTTTTCACATACAATGTGCCTTTGTCTTAGTGGGAAGATCTTTTGAAGTGCGCAAGACTAACTTTGGAAAAGCCCTTTTTAGACTGGCATCTTTTACTATCTTCTATATTTGATTCTAACTGAGAAAACAAAGGAAGAAAAAGAACACCAAGACAAACCACAGATTTCTGAACAACCACAAAAAGTGGTGCCACCACAGCCAAATGACACACTAGCCGAGTCAGGCTTCCAATTCCTAGTATTAGAGGCTCTACAATTTTAAACATATAATATCTTTAAGCTGTTAACTTTAAATCGAAATATTTTTAAAGTGCACCAAATTCAGTATTACTCAGTTTTCAGTTTTTTACTGTAGTCAGAAGTCAGAAAAAGTCCTAACAGGGAGACAGAGGAATGGAAACCACTAGTTCAGTGGTGAGTAAAAGGTAACTATTAGTCAATCCCACTCCCCTGTTTTTCTGTTTACAAAAAAGTGGGCAAATATCAATGTTTAACAAGGATTAAACATTACACTTTACCAGTCACTAATTATTGACTATTAATAGCACCATATGTACAAAGCAAGAGATGAAAAACACTCCCTCCAACATAAGCTTCTCCTCCCTGCACAGGTGAAAGAGAGAAAAGGTCATTAGTGGGCCACCACCAGAGGCAGGCACCCAAATATGGATCATGCTGCCAAAGTAAAGCATGCCGATTCTAGGATTTCACAAACATGGTGTGCTTGCATAAATACCAATATAAGCTTTAAGAGAGTTAGAGGACATGTACAGAACCACAGTAATAGGACCCAGCTGAGGAACTGCCATTTCCTATTGCCACCAGAAGAGCAGAGAGCTTAGTAGTTGTTGTCTTGTCTGTATATGAGTAATCAGGCAGTAGTAGCTATTTTCCCCAATTTGTTTATATGTGATTTATACATGTGAAACTTTAATCCCTTAAATCATTTAATCTTCTAGTAAGACAAGGAAGCCAGGACAACCTATTTTGGAGTTTGCAGTGTTTCTGGACCCAAAATATAGATGTCAGAGCCTGCCCACTTGCTGCCTCTTATTAAAAGCACTCTGGGTTTTCAAAGACCAGGGGGCTTCCAACCCAGGAGGAGATGGAAGAGAATGGGGGTTTATGGGCCTACTAATGCCCTTTCCTCTCAGTGAAGCTAGACCTGAGGGAACACAGCTGGAAAGCAGAAATTGAAGGGAACAAGTTCCTAGAAGTTGTAGGAATTTGTCTTCAACATCTCTCGCTTACCAAAAACTTTTCCACACCTTCCAAGGGATGGGTTCTCCACTGACTGTGGGGATCTCAAGAACACAGATTTAAGGACTATTTGGAAAAAGCTTCAAGTTCTGGTTAGCAGGGATGAGAATGCAGGTTTAGCTCTACCCAGATTCCAAGCATATAAAAAAACAAAATACTCTTTCACCCATCTTTCAGATATAAGAGTACTGTATTTCAAATCATGATCAGATTTTTAAGCCCAACTTAATCTTTTCCATCATGTGACCCCCTTGTTATACTAGAAACAAAATAAAAGTTTGGGAACCCTCCTTAACAGCTAGCCACAAAAAAGTTGTTTTCACCTCAGATTGAAAATCAATGATTTAGAACACGATTAGGGTTCCGTCAAGGTTTTACAGTCCAAGCTGAGATCAGTCTGGCAACACGTTAAGCTACCAAAGGAGTACAGCAAAGTAGCTAAATCAAAGCCCTGAAGGCCAGGAACTACATATCTTTTATATTTGTTGAGGATCTACCATACTATGGTTCTTGGTACAAGACATGAACTAAAATAGGATCATGCATAAAAATCACAGTAGTATTTCCCCATTCTAAAATTAAGATAACAGAAAGTTAAATGATGCTATCAAGTATGGCATCAAATTAAAAAAAGAAAAGAAAAAGGCAAATGAAAGTGTTAAAAAAATTACAGACCTTTTCTTGCAGCCTTACACTTCAAACCATCAGATCTGGTGAAGTCTATGCTTACATAAGCTCCACTGTCCAAATTTGAAGTACCATTTTGGAGATGGCAAGTTGGCGTAGCAGCATTTGCCTCACATCTTATAGAATCATCATGTAAATTCAGAGCTATATAGTTTAAACCATTCTGAAATCCAGTAGAGGTATCTCTGGACATTTTGCTTTCCTGACCATCGGTAATGTTTTCATCAGGTTTCAACCAAACGTTGTCAAATGACGCAGAGCTGTGTCTTTTGCTACTATCCGTAAAGAAAGAGGAAGTTGTCACAGTCCCAGCAGAAGAAAAAGTTTCAGAGCTGTGCCTCCTTCTGCCTTGTGGGTCAGCCCGAATCACTTTAGGTCCCATTGGAGGATCAGAGCTAGGAACAGAGAAGCTACTGCTACCAGCATATCTGTCCACAATACACAGTCTATTAACTATGGAAGAAGGACTATCTATCTTTATGCCACTATTAGATTCAGTAGAAAAAGGCCTAGGCGGTGTGGCTGCCATGTTGAAAGTCATCTCTGTGTAATCATCAGTCCTATTACTTGTAGTGCTAACGCAAGCAGTACCAAATGAAAGTCTAGCATAATCAGCATTTGGCTGGTTTCTAGGAACACTGGAACTTGCATAAATTGAAATATCTGTTAAAGAGTTGGACAGTTCCTTTGTTACTTTTGGTGATTGTACATCAAGGTCAACGCTCATATAATCAGAAAGCGGCGACTGTCTATGGTCGCTACTTGAGCCTAGAGATGACGGAGAACCTTCTGCAGACAAGGAATATGGTGTATTACTTGCTTTCTCACTGAAATCAATATTTATGTATTCACCAGGGCTAGCTGGCTCAGGTGGAACTGTACGATCATACATTCTTGGTATAGTATTACTTCCTCTCGTACCTAGTGGAAGTCTTGTAGGTCTGGTAGCCCTGTTCAGTGCGAGTCCTTCATCTGAAGGTTTCACAACTGGTGATTTAGAAATGCCATTAGCTAATACCTCACTGTTGATATTTTTGATGTTTTCTTGTCCTCCGTATAACAGTTTTCCAGGTGATGACATTGGAACATATTCATTGTGATCACCATTCTGTCCCGATAATGTCTTAAAGCTTCGTGGCAGAGAGAAGTATGAACTGAAAGCTTTGGAAACAGAGCTGGTATGAATATAATTAGAATCACTCTGCTGTTTTGGAGGTGCTGAATTCCCAGGTGACATATCCATATACTCATTATTTACCATCTTTTCATTCCCCCCTTTAGAAATAAATCCAGTTAAAGGGCTTCGTACAGGTGAAGAGCTAGCCCTTGGAAACATCATCATATACCCTCTGGAGTCCACCTGAGACGATGACCAAGCATTATTAATCTGTTTTGGGACAGAGACATTTTTAGGAGTCATTGGCAAATAATCGCTGCTGCTTGTGAGAGAAGATGCAACTCCAGGCATCATTGGCATGTACCCATCATCCCTGGCTTTACTCCTGCTTTGGTTACATACAGAGTCATGGGTAGCATCACTGTAATCAGATACCTGGTTATCTTTTACTTTTGGTGATTCAGAACAAATTAACTGTCCATGACTTCCCGCAGACTCTTCATCTAATAAAGCTGTGGTTTGTGTAGTTTTCTGCTGCACTGTCACAGAAGTTGGCTTAGTTAGAGAGTAAGTTCTTTTTCTGAAACACTTTTCGGCCTCCATATAATCATCTTTTGCACCATCATCCGTATGCTGTTTACTCATGGACATGTATTCACTTAAACAATTCTCTTCTCTGATAGGTGGTGTGTTTCCCAGTGAATCTGGAGTATTACTCCTGACACGAAAGTACCTGAAATCCCCAGGGCTAGAGCCATATTCATCAGAAGAAATAAAGCCACCATCGCTTGGGGACCCACAAACAGATGAGCTGGAAGGCCTAGTCAGCGTATCGGAAGCAGAGCCATGGCCACTACTGGAAGAAACACTAATGGGACTCGTAGTAGAAGGGAAATGAGATACTGGCAATGAGGCAGACCTGGTGTGATAAGAAGAGCTGAAAGCTGCTCTGACATATCTTCCACTTCCTTCTTGGCGGCCCAAGTTCATCCTTGCAGTGTTCAAATGGATCAGACTCCCAGTCACTGATCTGAAAGGTCTGGTCATTGTTCCTTCCCCCTCACTGGATGTTCGGAAGCGGTATGAGCTGTTGCTTTTGGTGGTGGGTGGGGTTCCCCCAGCAACACTCTCAGTTCGGGATCTTCTCTGCAAACCTGTCTGACTAGGGGGCAGGTTGCCCAAGTGCCTTCTAGTGGTGATGAAAGAGATAGGGTTAGTACCACTGCCACCACCAGAAGACTGGCTCTTGCTGCGGGGCCTGAACTCTGCAAAGGCCTTGAGAGCTTTCATAGTCTCCAGAAAGGTCTCGTGCATATTCTGGGCAACTACCGAGTCATCCACTTGCATCCAGAGCTCTCCAGGCCCAATGGAAGCAGATCTGCCCACCTCAATAAAGAAAAAGTTCTCTGAGTGGCCACAACGGCGGATGTTCATTAGCTGCAAGTGGACAGAGGGCACTTCCGAGTTCAGCTTGACAAGGTGGATAGCCTTGCTGGATAGGCACAACCTGTAAACCCCAGTCAGGTTCTTAGTCTGTCCCAGCCCCTTGGGCTTCACATTGACCTGCCACACCTCTTTGAACACCGTGCCTGGCCTCAGCGCTGCTCCATAATGCTCATCATCCTCGTCCAACTGCTGATCCGCTTGGTCCTCCTGCTCCAAGAAGCCCCTCTTGCTTTGGCTCATGAGCTCACTGATCGCCTCATACCAGGCCTCCTGCTCCGCTTCATTCTCAGCCAGCATGGCAAAATATTCATCCTTGGTATACAAGGCAATGATGTGCTTATGCTTCGCATCCGCCCGCCGGCTGACAGTGAAGCACTGGTACAGGGGGATCACACGCTTGGGAGGGGGGCAGCACAGGGCAGCAGACCCGCCCGCCACCGCCCTCAGGCTGCTCTTGAATTTCTTCTCGCTGTCGTAGTACTCCAGTCGCGCCGGGGCCAGGTGGCTCTCGGCCCGCAGCACGAAGTAGCGTTTGTGGCCATGCTTCTGCTTCCTCAGGTAGCCGCACTTTCTCACGTCGTCGCCCGCAGGCGCAGCTGGCGGTGGGGGGCCTCCTCGCCCACCTCGCCCGACCGAGGGGGCGCTGCGGGCCGCGGAGGCAGCGGCGGGCGCCTCCTCCTCCTGCACCAGGCACAGGGAGGCACTGGGCGACCTCCGCAGCAGCAGCAGCAGGTGGTGGGGCTGAGCCGGCGGCGAGGGGCCGCTCTCGCCCGGCTCCTGCTCCTCGCTGGCCCACGCACTCAGGGGGCCCGGCTCCTCCTCGCCGCCCCCGGCCGCGGGGCCGCCACCTCCGCCCGGGCCATTCATCCCACTCGCCATCTTAGGGGCCAGGCAGGGGCCAGACGGCGGCGGGGAGCGCGAAACCCGCCCTCACAGGGGAAGCGTCCCCCGCGCCGCGCCGGGCATGAGGCGCCGGGCGGCCCCGCGCCCGCACGAGCTCCCGCTGCCCCGCTCAGCGCTGGCGGCTGGGACGCGCCGGGCGCTGCTACTCACAAGCACGCAGGCAGGCAGCCTCCGCGGCACCACGGCGAAAACATCACGTGACCCCGCCGGGGGAGGGGCGGGGCCAACGCCGGCCGTGGGCGGGGCCGCCCTGTGTGTAGCGTGAGGGTGGGAATGGGGAGCGGCGCGGAGTGGCGGCAGGCGGAGCCAGTGGGAAAAGGAAAGAGCGGCGGAGTTGCCCAATCAGCGACCGAAAAGTGCCAAGGGGTGGGCTTGTCTGCACCCTAGCGGGGGGGCAGGTGGGACTCTCGGGGATGGGCGGCAGAAGAAACCAATGAGCGCCAGAGGTAGGTGCTGACAGAGGCGTCTCCTGCGGGAGGGAAGAAAGAGGCGGGGCTTCGCGGTTGATGGGCAGGCAGGGGGTTCGCCAATCGGGTCTTCACACACAAGGATACGGGGGGCGGGGGCGGGCTCCAGGGTGTAGGTGGAGGAGTGAGTAAAACAGGAGGCGGGTCCTTCCCGCGATTGGCGGGGTATTTCACCAGTGAGCGCTCGCAGCTCCTACGGCCCAGACCAATCAACGGCAAGAGCTAACGTCGCCTTCTCACGGCTATTTTTTTGAAAGGAGAATTCCTTCCCCTCCTTCACCCCCCTCCTCCTCCTTTTGCCAGGTTTACCGCCGGAGGGTGGCCGCGATTGGCCGAAGCGACAGCCAACCAGGGCGCGTGGCGAGAGAGGGAGGTGGCGGTTGGGAGGGGTGTTCGGTAGGCGCGCGGCAGAGGAAGTAAACAACCCGCCGGCGCGCGGGCGGCCCTTGGAGATGGGTGCAAAACTCTCGAGCCGGTCCTGCTACTTCATGAGGGTCCGCGGCCGGGAGCCCACTCACGCGGCCCGGCCCCGGGGGCCAAGGACGGGGGGCATGCGCTGCTTCCCGGCCCCTCTCCGGATCCCTTTGCTGCCTCCCGCGCTCACAGGTGTCCCGCTGCCCCGACCCCGGGCCTCGTCCCCCCGCGGTGGGCGACGCCCACGGCATGTAAACGTATAGGTCGACCCCTCAGCCCCCCCGGGGCACTCAGTGCAAGGCCTGTAACGCCACGTCCAGCCAGGTGGGTTGTACTGAAAGGCCCCCCCGAGTATCTCGGTCGAATTCTTCCTCACCTCGCAAACGAGCTCCTCGGGAAGGGAGGTTAGCACGAGGCATGCTTCGGAAACCGGGCAGTCCCGTTGTAACGCAGCGCTGTACTGAGTTTTTGGTTTATTGTTTAATTTGTATCCAAGGCCAAATGAGTCGAAACTAATTCCAAATCCAGAACCATAAGCGGCCCTCCTACTGGCAAACATACTCCACCTTTGCCAGGCATCCTACTTGCAGGCCCAAGCCCGTAGGCTTAGGGTTCGGGTGCCCCCAAGTTTTGCTTGCCCTCGGCCATACAGCCCTCAGAGCAAGCAAGGGAGGGAGGCTCCCATTTCCATGAACTAGGCTTAAAGCCGCTGCACCTTGGTGAAAAACGCTAGAAGAGCAGTTCTCCTGTGAAGCTGTTCAGGAAAACTGCCTTCTTGGACACAGATACGTGGTATTTTCCCTGCCGGGTTCAGAAGCTGCTACGCTTAATCTGAGCTTTCAAGAGGCTGAGAAGCAATCTTAGCCTATAAAAGGAAGTTCTGAAGGGGTTGGTTGCCTGCCCTGACATCCGGTGTCATCGTTCTGGCGTGGGCCGATGGCCTTTCGATAGCACGTCAGGGCGGTGAAGCAGGGTCCTGACAATATGTGGTGGTTCTTAGGTTTTTGTTTCTGCTTGACACAGTTGGACACCTAGATGCAGCGTTCAGGTGTACTGGGATGTTGTGTCGCCTGTTCTACGATGGTGGCTGGGGGAACACCTGTGAGGCGCTTCACCTTACTGCTGATACAGATCTGTTGTTTTGATACATTTATCACTGCTTTGAGGCAGCGCATGGGTGTGCCACAGTACTAATATGTCAATGTTTTAGCTGTATATATTATCAGTCTATAATGTGTTGATGCCTTAAACGTGTATACTTTCATTGTGTCATGGCTTGACATTGATATGAAGTTTTGACTCAGTTTCACAATGTTCCAACAAAGCCTCAGAGTATATCATAAATGAGTGAGCTATGAACAAATGAAAACAGTCTGTGGTACCTCAGACTTTCATTTATTTTACAATTAGGTTGTGGATTAACACGTGTAATATAAATCCCAGTCACTAGATACATCTACACGTGCACTTAACTGTGCAGTAGACTAATTTGCTGTAGTGTAAGGTATCAGTCTCTATGTGCAATGCTATTAGACAGAAGCAAACTAATTTTCACTGCCATAAGATAGTACTGTTGGAGACATTACTATTTTACAGCAGTGAAAATAACCTCCTAAATGGATGTATAAACATTGACCTCGGCATAAATTTTGCTCAGGCAGCAGGGGACCAGACTCCTGCCTGCTACCTAGTCACACAGCTCCACTGTTTGGGTACTCTCATGTCTCAGCCAGCCCCTCCAATGTCTGACCCCCTGAGCCTGCTGCCAGCCTGGGGTTGCTCTGCTTCAGCTCAAACTGCTGTGGTCCCAAGTGCACATGTAGACTCTGTGCCCAGGAGCCACTAACTCCAGTGCAGTATGCTCTGCACTAATAGAACATGTACATGCACCCTCTCTTTCTTATCCTGGGCTGGATAATATCTGTGACAGTTCAAGTATAAGACCAGCAATTGATAAGATCCTATTGCAGCTTCCCAATACAGAAAGAGCGTGTCTACACATGTATTTCCACATGCCTAAACCTAATGCGCCTTTGCTTAAGGCATATTAAGGTGATTTAGGCATGTGTCTATACATGAACGCGCTAATGCACATTAAGGTGCATTAAATTTAGGCACAAATAGCTAAGTCGCATTACCTCACAAGTAGATGCATGTTACACATGCACTAATGCAATGTAACGATTTACTTTATGCAGGTATCAAATTTAGACTGGTAGCCTTAAATTGCCATTTTTAAGGCACATTAAGGGCATGCATGTGTAGACTCATGCCCTTAATGTGCCTTAAAAATCATCACTAGCAGCTTCTGTAGGTGCTCACCAGCCCTGTCCCCACTGGTGATGCCACTGATGGCTTCTGCAGGTGCTTGCCAGTCCCATCCCTGCCACCGGTGGCTTTTGGACGTACCCCCCCAGACTCAGGAGGCACAAGTCTCCCATGGCCCAAAGTCCAAGCATGAACAAACAAAAGAGTAATTTCAAACTCTTATCTCTATCCTTACCTCCACCAACTTGCCAGGGTGGAAGCAGTTAGTGCAGGTTAGTACAGGTGCTAACCCAGTAGCTTTAGGACACTGAAGAGCTGTATGACTGTGACCATAAAATCTAACAGCCAAGAACAGAGAACTCCCCACCACCACCACCACCTTCATAATATTATGATCCAGCATTGCAGTAGCCACCTAACAGTAGATTGCCTTCGTGAGTTCATAAAGTTTTAGTCTGCAGTTAGTGATCATTTTCATCTTTAAAAAAGGGCCAGATATGGTGATTGAAATTAAGACTAAATACATTTCAGTAATGTAAGAGTAAAAAAATTCTGCCGCAAAGATACTTTTCCTGGTCTGTTGCTTTGATCATACAGTCCCTCCATTGGTTTTTCTTCATCACATGAAACAAAAGTTATTGGTTTTCACTTTCATGGTTATTCACTGCCTCTTCTTAGCATACCTGTTCTCTCTCATTTGCTACTGAGAGGTTGACTCCATCAGTTCATAATGCCAGTGTCTATCACCTAACTGTTATGTTTTCAAACAAGCATCTGTGTTTTTTCCTGTGCTGACCCTCTTGCTTTGGCAAGCTACACATAAACATCCACAAAGCTGTCCTCTTTTTAATTATTCCTTTAAAGAATCTGTTTTTTTGTGGTTCCACAAAATGGTTGACAGTAATTAGATCAAGACCCCTGTCTGTTATACTGACATGATACTGTCTCATTGTTTCCTTATACTTCCATATTCTCTTTCATTTAATGTATATGCTGTCATTTTTCATGTACCCAGATGGTAAGCCTTTTTGTTTTGTATTGTATGATTCCTAAAAAGAAAAGACCTGGTCCATGGCTAGTGTTATGGTAATATATTTAATAATTATTGCAGGGATGGTCTAACAATCCCAACATCAAGCATGAACCTAGAAAATACAGAGTGAAGGTGAATCTTAAGTCAAGCACATTAAACACAAAACCAGCTTCACATCTCAGTAGTAATGAAGTAATCATACTATAATCATACAGCAAGTATATCATATTTTTATAACCCTAAATTTAATTATACTGGTTCAGTTTTTTATTTTTTTCCTGATGTCACTACAGGGTAGAATTAAGTTTGGCTGACCAAGTATGGCATTTTAAAACTTTATTGTGTCAGGATATCGCCTTACACCCTGTTATTTGGAAACAAAATATTAATATTTTAGAGGCTTTTATTTATAAATAAATCAAAAAATTTGAAACTGTGGAATGAAAAGGACTTTCTTGCAGGCTTCTGGTAACTGGTTGCTGAAGGATACATGTGGGAGGTAGAAAGAAAACAATTTAAAATAAAAAGGTTAGGCTTTTGTTTTATTTGTTTTGTTTGGTCATAAAGTTCTAGGCTTGTTTGACAGTAATTGTGACTCAGCTATCACTGTGTGTAGGTAAGAGCTTTTAAAACCTTAGTATTTTCTGGTCTTTTTCTTAGGTTCTTATGGCTGTGTATCATTTGCAGCTATCAGTAAGGATTCAGTAAAATCATGTTTGTACTATTCAGTCATTCTAAAGCATTTTTAGGTAGGTATTGGCGGAAGCACAGGTGTCAGCAAACTAGGTCAATGAGAGAACCCAGCTTTCCTTGGAGCCTATATCACCCTAATTTATGCAGGAATATTGGGAAGACTTACAAAATGCGAACTAATACCTAAATTACATATGCTTACTTATATTAGAAGAGCAACATTTGTTTTTCTTGTCTTCAGATAGAAGCTGCTTGAAGCCTTGGAAACATAAAGCTATACAGTTTGTGTGAGTTTTTCTCTCTGTGGATTTAACAAGGCTAGCTGCCAATATGTGCTGCCCTTGCTTTACTCAAATCATTTTCTAGATCACTGGGATGGAATTTAATTTTGTTATACCAGAAGTTGCCAATACTATGTTACTATTGGAATTTTCACAAATTAATATCATGTTACTCTCTCAGTGTTTTCTCACCTCCTCATCATACTTCTGATTACTAGTGTAGAACACAACTTTTTCTTACTTCAACAGGAAAGTTAAAGGTCCTGTAATATCAGTCAGGCATCACTCTTATACTCTCCAATTTTATTAATTTGTTTAGGGTCAACCTGGCCCAAGTAAGAGATGTTCCCAGCAATGCAGTCATGCTCTTTTCCACTCAGTGCAGAGGGAATTCAGGCTCCTTCTTCTTCTTTAAAGTGTACTAGGTAAGCAGTTCCTGCTGGCCCTTGAGCAGAGGGGTTGCAGGTATAGCTGTCTTTCTGTTGCAGTTATGACAGTTCTTTTCACACATGCATTCTACCCCACTATTGTAAAATGTCCAAGAATATGAAACCATTATTTTTCAGTATAATTTCCACGAATGACTGTTATTTCTACAAGGTACAGTAATTTAGAAATGACTGGTGTTGTAGGAGTTTTACACATTGATCCAAAAGGCAGAGCTATTAACATAATCTGTTGCTGAACTACCAAAAGGCAAATAACAGAGCTCCTGAGGATGTCCATGATGAGATGTCATAAAGAGCAAGAATATTAGCTGTATGAAGACATGATCTGAAAACTAAGCATCTGAGAAGCTAAAATTCTGTTAAAACTAGTCATGGAATAAATGCAACTGGATACAATATTGTGGGAGTTGTTAATCAATCGAGCCTTTTTTTTAGTCTGTGCCATCTGCTATCCTTCCCATGCTTGTTTGTTCTTGTCAGTGATATACTGAAAGACAAGAAAGAAATAAGCCTTGTTAAGTGTCGTCACGGCCCTGGAAAAGGCCACGGGCTCAGTGGTCTGGTGCTTACCCGGACCAGAATGTTGATCACGTGTTCATTTGCTTTAACCTCACTGTGGAAATACCCGACTCTTGCCTGCTACATTTTGATGTTTCAGTGATGTTTTAGATTGGGAGGTATTAGTCTTCACTGTAGCTGGCTGAGGCCAATCTGGATAGGGACTTCGTCTGGGGCTCTAACCTCCCCTACATCCCGTCCTAGCACCAACCAAATGTTACACCACCAAATTACACTGGTAGATCTTGATGGGTGGTCTTGTCTAGACTCTTTTTTTTCTTGTAGACTCACAAGTGTTTCAAAAGAAAGCTTCAACTGAACCAAAAGAAGATAACTCCAGGACCTTCTTTCCAGTCCCAGGTAAGTCTTGCGGGTATTCACTTTTGGGCCTTATGCACCTCTCTTTTCTTTGTGGTGCCCAACCTCCAGTAATTAAAAGCAACAAAAAAAACCAACCCATCCAGGTTCTTGCATCTTCAAGCCTGACACCTTTTGGCTCTTGTCCAGCTGCTTTTCAGCTGGGTCTTTTCACTATAATTAGGGGCCTTCCTTGACCCTGCACTTGGGTCACGTGCCCTGCCCTTGTCCCTGATTTTCTTCTCGGCTTGTGGCCAACTGAGGTCCCCTTTAAGCAGTCCCAGGGGTTGAGGCCCCCCCTGTCTGGTTGTCTCCAGGCCTACCTCACTCAGGTCTCCGGCAGGGTATTCAGGAAGAAAAAACAAGAAAAAACTGACAGCACCTTGTTTGGGTGTGGTCACTTCTCCTGCAGCTGACTCGCCTTCAGTGGAGCATCCGGCCACTCACATTACTTTCCTCTGCCAAGTCTATACAGCCAGCATCCCCCGGCTCAACAGAGCCCAGCTGGACTCTCCTGCCGGCCTGCAGCCAACTCCCTGGGGCTTGGATCCTTCTGCCGGACGTCTCATGGTTAAGGACTCAGCTCCCCTCTCACTGGCTGTCTCCATGCTTTCCTCTCCCCTTCTGGCGTGTGTCCCCAGCCTGTGCAACTCCGGGGCTGCTCTACCTGAATGGAGGAACCATGGTTCTTGTGGCATTCTCTTTTTTGGCACTGTAGTCTCTCCCGCTGTGGTGAGTTTAACCAGTTTTTCCTTTCTTCCTTCACATTAAGCACTACTGCTCCGTAGTCTAAATCAACTCATGCTTTTGAAATATGCATAAAAAGTATCTGTATGAACTTGGAATAAAAACATTCCAGGGGTACTATATCAACTCATTGTGCCAAAATATAACTTTTAAAATTGCAGCTGCGGTTCATGTTTTATATTTCCCCTATGTATAAATTTTGCATGGAAAACCTTTAGATATTCAAGTGCGAAGTATTCAGTTTGCAAAGACAGGTACAGTTTACATATGTAAATAAAGATTTTACAATCTTGGATAAGGACAACTGCAAATACAAGTAGTTTATTTCATTTCACCAAAGTTTTGTAGATTTTTTAAATAAATTACTAATGCTATATGAGATATGCAGAACTCTTGGTAGAGGTGACATCTTTTATTAGGCCAACTAAATAGTTGCAGATTTTTTTTCTTTATTTGCAAGCTTTTGGGCTCACTTGCCCTTCCTCAGGCAAAGGAGAATGTACAGATTGTACTATTTCTCCCAGGTAAAAATGAAACTCCATATTGCACAGGAGAATAAAAAATGTTAAAGGTTCACCTGGGTGGAAAATGCTATATTAAACATTTTCAGTTGGTAAAAAATATTCAGGTAACTGTGCAAGGATTTAGTCCAAGCCAAAACCTTCACCTATGAGTTTTATTATGTGACTGCATCTGCAGAGTAGCTACTATAAATAACTTCTTCACAGTTCTGTCTTTAGTATGAGTTTGTTGAGATCCATTCAAGAAGCTTAGTCAGCATAACCAATCAAGAAGAAAACAAGATCATATATGAGCATATTGCAGAAAGGCTAATCTACCTTTAGAAACATTTCCATTCATTTTCTTGTCATGAACTCAGAAAATGAGGCAACTGTGGCAATGTTTATGCAGGATCTGGAAGACAGAAAAGTAGGGAAGAAGGGGATGGCCTTATGAGTAAGGCACAGGCCTGGAATCCAGGTGATCTTGGTTGGGTTCCTAGTTCATTACTCCTTGTGCAAGTCACATAGGCTAAGGACAAAAATTTTACATAAACCAGTTTAAGTGATCAGAAACTCGTTTAAACCTGTAACAGAACAGAAGTTCAGTGGACATAAACTGCTTTCAAAATGGCCCAAAGCAGTTTAAGATAAACCTGGTTGGATGTAATATCAGACTTAGCTGATTTAAGTCAAACCAGTTTATGGAACTTCTATCCCAGATCCCTTCATGGTTTAAGTTAACTCACAATCCGCAGCATCCCAGAATGCTTTGCAGCCCTGGATTATGCTATCTGCTCCAGTTTAGCAGGGACTGCCTCACCCCTCTGCTCCCTCACCTGCTTCCTGCCTGTATCTGTCAGCTCATCAGAACAGGTGTTGGGGGCAGGGAAACAGACCCCCAGACCTCTCTAGCCAGGATCTACACAGCAGGTGGGAACTTTCCAACCCTTGCGAGCTCTCCCTCCTCCCTGCTGCTACAGGAGAAAGGAAAAAGGAGTCTTCCTGGCCAGGTGCCTTCCCATGCAGCTCAGCATGGGGCACCAGGGAGCCCCTGCCTTGGGGTGGCTTCCCTTTACCCCAGCCCAGGATCACCCAGCCCAGGGCAGCCCCAGGGAGCTAAGGGGAATTCTTTCCCTCCCAAACTCCAGAGCTGGTTGCCTTAGCTGCTGCGAGTTTCAGACAGCCTCAGGGAGTGGAGGGAAATTCTCCTGCTCCTCTGCAGCCGAGGGGGAGGCTCCCTCAAGGCGGGCCAGTACCCGGACAGGGAACTCAACCCTCTGTGGGGGGACAGCAGGAGGTTGGGAGCATGTACTGGGGAGCCAACTGGGGGCACCCCCACTTGGCTGAGCTGGCAATGGCCAGCAGTCTGGGAGACATTTTCTAGCGTCCCTTGCCTACTGGCCTGGGTCAGTGCAGGCCTCCCCCACCTTTCCCAATTGAAAATTAAATGTCAGTTCAGTAGGTTATCGGTTCAACTTACATGGCTTAGAGGAAGCTGCCTAGATTGAATCGATTCTGCCTTGGGCTTTTTGACTGCCTGTACTTAGTCATAATCTATCCTGTTCTATCCTCAGTTCCTCAATTGTTCAATAAGATTCCTGTCTTAAAAGGATTGATTGTGAGGATAAAATCCATTACTCATTGTGAGGGGCTCAAATTCTATGATGACAAGAATCCATGTAGCTCTGTAACTAGCTCTATGTGTGGACTTCCTTTACCTTATGTAGTGAATTAGCAGAACCTACTATCACTAAAGTACTTTTAATGTTTAGGTCTTTCTTAGAAAAAGTATATTGAATAATTCTTTTGATTCAGGTACTTAGTTTTGGAAGTCATGGAGTAATAGAAACTTTTTTCTTCACACCAGTTAGTACTGTGTTTGTTTATGAAACTATAGGGATTTGAATTTAAGATTCCCTGAAAGAGATTAAAGGTATAAGCTTTAGATCTGAGTTCCTACCTGTCAAATTTCTTTCAGATAGAGGTTTGACTGCCCAGCAAGCTCTGAAAATCAGACCCTAATTGTTTATTTGTTCTGTTATACTCCTCTCACCATCCCTCTAATCCTATCACATAATTGTGTACAGAAAATACTTAAATGCTTAGTTTCTTTACTGTTTGTATAATTGGGGATAGTGCCACCATGCAGTGGAAAGAACCACAAACAGTGCTGTTTTTCAAAGGCATATGGTCAAATTTACAAAACATTTTCACACTGGATAAGGAATGAATACTATGATTATTCTGCCTGTTTGTTTTCCTAGGCTTGGACAGTTGCTATTAGATATTTGGATTCTTCAGTGATGGCAACCCTGAAATTATTTGGAACCTTGTGCAAAGGTTTTCTTTTGAGAAATATGCCAGTTTTTTTCTGTTTAATCTTTGTGAAGTACACTTTTTGCTGGATCTCAAGCCAGCATAGGATGTTAGAAAGGACTGCATTTGTCACTGGAGGAAAAGCAAGATAGGGTACAGATTCATAAATAACTTGGACCAAAAAAATGGCACCAAGTTAGTATGGCAAATGTTAATATTAAAGGACTAATTCGATAAAGGGTGTTTCTACAGAGGATGCATGTTTTCTGTTGCTTTCTTTTCTAGTACTTGGGTGCCTCGGAGCAGTTGCTATTTATCATCTGGCATGATCCCAAGTCTTTAAGTCAATATTTTTTACTGTTCAGTAGAGTTACCTTAAAAGAAAAAAAAAGTTTACAATTCAGCCCATTCAGAGTTTACAGTTCATCCATGCTGGGTGGTATGGCCTCTCCACTTGTTATTCCAGCACGTGTGACTTATTCTAAGAAATTCATTAAACTAAAAAAATATTTGTCCTGCCTGTTAGTTGCACTCTTTAATTGGGAAATGTCTGCAAATCCTAAAAGGAAGTCTCCTGTATCTGGTGGAGAATGTTCATATCCAACTATGATAGCTTTAGCCAAGCACATAGAAAAGCCAGAAGTTTGCAGGACTCTTCATACTTTCTTCAATGATAGTTTCAATCTCAAAGTGACTAGACATGCACATTGGTGTGGTGATCAGGATGTTTCTAACATGAGCTGCCACAGCAGCATGTATATGTACTGACTCATCTTCAGCAATCTCTCACAGTCAAGGATGATTGTCTTCCATGATTGTCTTATCTATGGGTCCAAAGATGGCTGACAAGGCCACTCGGGGTGTGACAGACTGTGCTGCAACTTGGGCATGTGTTTCCATGCAGAGTAGGTGGCTCAGGGTTCTTGATTTGGTCTGTGACATGCTGTTTCTACTGCTCCTGCTTTTCCATCTCCTGTTGTCGTTGTACAGTTTCAAAGTACTGAAATCCTTGCAACAGACTCTTCTTCCGTTTGTGGGGGAGGGGTCCTGAGCAGTAGTCTCCCATGAGTTGATGTCAGTGTTGCATTTTCAAGTTGGCCTAGAGGATGTCCTTGAAGCACTGTCTCCGCCCTCCTCTTGAGTGTATGCCTTGACTGAGCTGGGAGATTAAAACTTGTGTTGGCAGTCTGGAGTCGGCTGGTCCAGCAAAGTTGATGTTAGATGATCATCACTTTGATGATTATGGTGTTTGCTTGTGAGAGGCTCCTAATTTTAGTGCTTCTGTCTTCCCACTGGATTTGAAGGATCTTCCTCAGGCAGCATTCATGGTACTTGTGAGTTCATTCTTGATGGCAAAACCAACTCCCTGAAGCTGGCGTTCTCCTTCCTGTTTACTCTTCCAGAAGAAGGTATAGCTGCCTCCATGTTCTTTGACCTGCCCATCTCCCACTTGCCAGGTCTTACTCAGTGCAGCAGCATCAGTGTTATGTTGCCTGAGTTCTTGAGCCATGATTACAGTGCAGCCATCTAGGCATTCACTTTTAGGATTGTCCACAAGGGTCCAGATGTTCCAAGTCCCAAAATTGATTGTGTTGTCTTCGTTGATTTTGACTGCAGTAAAAGTGATCCCAGTGGATGCAGTTACTGAGTCAGGAAGAAACAGACATGCCATGTTCATGGGCGACTGGTGCCACCTGAGTCAGCAGCCAGTCGGTGACCAGGGGGAGAGGTCCCCCCTGTGGCTGATTGTGCAGACCAAGGGTGGGGAAGGGTGTCCCCTGCAGCCAATCACACTGACCGTGAAGCATGAGCGGTGCTCCCAGAAGTGGCCATGGCACTCTTGGAAGTGCCAGTGACGCTTCACCTTCCACCCCACTCCCTTGCCAGCACTCATAGGAGGGGCACTGACACACCTGCCCCCCACCCATCGCCTAGGCAGGGAGTGCTGCCTGTCAGGGGGTGCACCAGCGCTCTCAGGGAGTGCATGTGCATCCCCATGCACCCTACATGTTGCCACTGGCTATGTTTAGGGCACCTTTTCTTGATCCCTCCCCACATGGGGTGAGCAAAGCAGATCCTGAAGAGGGCTGCTCAGTCGCAGTTACAGCTGCCGAATCACACTCCTGCCTCATCCAAGTGCCAGACAACCTTCTTGTAACTGCTGCTAGTTTGTCACTTTGGTGACCAGCTAGTGATGGTGGGAGCAGGATTGTGAAGTTTGAAAGCTTCTAGTCATGAACTGACTTATCTTAAAGACTTAATGAATTGACAGTTCAATCTGCAGATCTTGTTATGCTCCCCTCATTTACCCTCTATAGCCACCTTCATTTTCTTAATG